ATTTTTACTTCTGTTTTTACTTTTCAAAATAAGATAAAATAAAATTGAATTTATAAACACACACACACTGTGGTCTGTAAGATTTTTTTTTTTTTTTTGAGACAGGGTCTCACTATGCAATTCGGACTAGCCTTGTGCTCACTCTTGTAGCTCCCAGGCTGGTCTTAAACTTGCAGAGATCCTCCTGGCCCAACCTCCCCAGTGCAGGGATTACAGGTGTGCACCACCACACCTGGTTCTGGGGCCGCATGGTGGTGCCCACTGTAGGGCCCAGACGGTGTGCCTGGGTATCTGGGGCCAAGACCACATGGCATGTGGGGCTGGGGATCAAACTTGGGTCCTTGTGCTTGCCAGGTAGGTGCTTATGCCTCTGAGCTGTCTCTCTGGCCCCTGGTGTGTAAGAATTTAAGAAATTTCTGCCTTTATGTTTTTTCCTTGAAGAATTGCTGGTTTTCTGTATGATCTTAGAAATCCAAAAGTATGTTCCTCCCTTTTCTTATACTTTTTAGCATATTGTTTTTCAAGCTGTTTTTGTAAACTTTTACAGTATACATTTGCTTAAGCATTGTAGTTCATTTGCTGTTGAGCTAGCCCGCTATAACAGCTAACTGGCACAACCCTTGAAGTCTTGCATAGTGAGGAAGGGTCCTTCTTAACCTTTCGATACCTCGCACTGATGGGACTTTCCTGTTCTCACAGCTTTATTTTAATATTATATTAATTCACAACATCTCTTCAAATCCTTTGATGCTAGTAATGGTGGGGGTGATGCAGTTTTGTTCTGGAAGGAAATTCAGTTATTAGATTTTAGAAGCTTAGATGCAACTGCAGAATGAGAAGGTTTTCGCTACAAGCTTTTAATTGTAATTTTTGGTTTTGTTTGTTCATTTGTTCCTTTGAGATAAGTCTTGCTATGTAATTCCAAGGATTGAACTCAATATGCAGCCCAGGCTGGCCTCAAGCTTATGGCAGTCCTTGTGCCTCAGCCTCCTAAGTGCTGGGATTACAGGAATGTACCATTACACCCGGCACTACAAGCTTTTCAAAAGGTTTTCTAGTCCCTTTACATGATGAACTGGAAATGTCAGTGCACTGAGTTGTTTGCAAGCTTACTTTACAAAGTAACTACACCACATAAACTCACTACATGCACAGACTTAGCAGAAAGAGAATTATGAAAACTGTGTACACAAATAAGCTGAAAGGCTTTGTTGTTTGTTCAATAGGACAGCTGTTACAAAAGACAGAATGGACCCCATTCCTGTCCCTTGAGATTCACTCTTCACCAGCAATCTAGTTGAGGGTGTGCAGGCCCTGCCAACAAGCCATGGGCTTCCATGGCAGCCTTGGCCCTGGGAATTTCTGAGATTCCAGAGAGGAAGATCAACCTGGAGGTGCAGTCACAGCCCAGAAATGCAGCCTCTCCTTCACTGGCTCTGGATTTGACTATGTTCTTTTCTCTTCTCTGTCTTTTTCATTTAGAGGAAGGAAATGGGTTTCTTCCAAACATTTTATAGGGAATTAAAGAAATTAATAGAGCTTGGGTGCTTTAATTGTAGAAAATTATCTCAAAGTGATTATATAAATTCTCTACGCCTTAGTTTCCCCATAAGAAAATGAAAGCAGTAAGGTCTTGGCCTCACCATCACAGAGGCAGATATTGTATATATAAAAGGTTTTAGCCTGTAAAAGAAATGAATGTGTAAAATATTACTTATTAAGGTGCATGAACACATACAGCTAACCACCTGAACGAGTTTATGCGTAGTTCTGTATTATTCAGACCTTATATAAATGAGATGGTTAACTGTTTCCAGTGCCAAGCACTCAGAGGAGCTCCTTTCTGGATACCAGCACTTGATTCCAAGCTAGGAGATCCCTGAGGGAGGATAAGAGCCTTGAAATTTGTTTGATGTCCAAAAATCTTTCTAGCCAGCAGTTTGTTTCCCTTCCTTTTTTATGAATGGCAGTAGCATTATGCTTCAGCCTGCGTTTTCGACCAAGGCCATTCATAAAAATAAAAACAAAACAAAATAACAACAACAAAAAACTTTCTTGTCACAGTCTGGAGCCACTGGGTGCCAGAGGCTGGGAAAACATCCTGGCAGCCTTAACCGCAGCCGGCATTGAAAGCGCTGAAGGGTCTGTTTGTTTGGTGGTCTCAGAAGTACGGAGTGCTGCGTCTGAGGGTAGTCTGTAGAAGTTCCCTGACACAGACTAGGCCTGGAGCCAGGGCTGGCAGACTTTCAGACATTGTCTTTCCCCTCATTGAAGTGTCGGGACCTAATTCATGGAGAATTGGGCGCGCTGGCATGGCCTTTCAGAGCGTTTCATTGAGCTGCGCCGTGCAGCAGTCACGTGAATGCAGACTCCTCAGTCAAAACGGGAGGGAATCTCCGAGCAGGAGGAGCCAGTCAGGCTGCAGGAATGTGCACAGACTCCAGATGCTTGGGAAGTAAACACGTGTGCAGGTAGAATCAGCAGGAGAAAAGGCGACAGTGCAGAGGAGTCTGCTCTTACAAATGACCCTTTTGAAGTACATCTTCTCTCAATATATACTTTAGGGTCCTAAGGGGGCAAGAAATTCTAGTCCTCCTTGGTTTGATTCCACCTGGAGAACACATCGTCTTGACAGTGATGTCTTCTACGCTGTGATTTAAAGCCACAGGGAGGACAGTCTTTTCAGTGAGCAGAAAAATATCCTGCCATTTATTTTATTTGTATCTGTCCGTCCTAAAGTAAGTCTGATAATTGTTTTTTTCCCCACTAGTAGCGAAGTTTTATGAAAGGTAGGAAAAGAAACAGGCTTGGCAGAGCAAGTTTGGGCCAAGTGAGAATAGGAAAAGATAAAACTCTGATAATTTTTATATAACTTTTTTAATGTGCCAGCCATAAAACCTCACACAACTCAGAAATTCTGAGAGGAAGGAAAGTGAGTAGATACTTAAGACATAGTGAATTGGAGCTGATTTCTGTTACTTGAAAAACTGTCAATGTTGTAGTTAAAGTATGTCTCCCTCCAGACCAGGATGGTTCAGTGCTTCTATTTGCAAGTCTCAGCGATGTGCAGATGGAGCAAGCAGAGTTTCCGTTCAGACACAAGACTGAACTGGAGATAAGAGAGCAACAAGCTGGGGCTTCAAATCCATAGTTTTCAATACCAAAGAATAACAAATGTTTTCTAGTACTGTATTAGAAAATTAAGTTAGGCTGTGAGAAAAATTTCCCTGAAGTGTTTAACTATAAAGAGGAAAGTTTTGACCCATACATTCAAAGACAAGTAGATGACAGATAGATACATACATACATACATACAAACATACATACATACATACATACATACATACATACATAGACAGACAGACAGACAGACAGATAAAAATGTCCTTCCAGTACCATCAAGAAAGAGTGAATTCACAGAATGGGAAAAGGTATTTGTAAGTCATATATCTGGTAAGAGATTGTATCCAGGCATTAGAAAGGACTCAGGACTCCATATTGAAAAGATGAATAATTTATTTTTAAATGAACAAAGGATATGAATAAACATTTCACCACAGAAGGTATGCAGATGGCCAACATGAAAAATCACTCAATGGCACTGATTGTGAGGGGAACGCAAATCTAAACGCTAACATTCAACTTCGCACCCAGTTGGGTGTCTGTGACAAAAAAAGACACACAATAACAAGTATTGGCACAAATGCAGAGAAATTGAAACTATTGTATATTGCTGTGGGACTATAAAACAGTATGGTTTCTTTGAAAAGTCACCTGGCAACTGCTCAAAAATTGAGGGGAAAAAAATTGTCATATTACCCAGAAATTCCATCCACTCCTAGGGTAGCAAAAAGAAATGAAAACATGTCTACAATAAAACTCACATCTAAATACTTACAGTGGTATTATGCACGAGAGCCAAAACTTGGAAATAAACCAAATATCCATCAGCTGATGAATGGATCATTAATATATGGTAGATCCATGCAATGAAATACTATTTGGTATAAAAGAGGAGTGGGCTACTGGTGTATAATTAACCCTTAAAAAATTATGCCAGTAAAGAGGCTAGACCCCAAAGATGACATTGTATGATTCTTCTTGCATGAAGTGTTCAGAATAAGCCAAGGTATAGATGCACAAAGTAGGTTCATGGAAGCTGAGCATGGAAGGGCGGCCTAGAAATGAGAAGAAATGAAGAGTGACCCTGACAGATGCAACGTTTCTCTTTGGGGAGACGAAATTGTTCTGAAATTAAAATGTGATGGTTGCACAATACTTTGAACACGAAAACACTTTGATACTTAAATGAGTTAACTGTATAGTATGCAGATTTTTATCTCAGTTAAGTTCTTTTTAAAAAATAATATAAATTAGAACCTTTCTCAAATTTTCTTTTTTTTTTTTTTAATTTTTTATTTATTTATTTATGTGTGTGTGGCCAGCTCAGCCCACCAGGGGGCGGGGCTGGCTGGCATGTGGTGCTGGGGGATTGAACCACGGTCCCTGTGCTTTGCTAAGCTTGTTCTAAGTAGGTGCTTTAGACCACTGAGCCATCTCACCAGCCCCTCAAATTTTCTGATATGTAGACTTGTTAAAAAAAAAAAGTGACTATGTACCGGGGAGATAGCTCAGTGACTTAAGTGCTGACTTAGCAAGCACAAGGTCCTGAGTTCGATCCCGGTACCAAATAAAAGTGATTGAATAATAGTATGTTTATTTTGATAAGGTTGGTATATATACCGTGATTCAACTGGACATTGTTCATTGCATTAGCAATTGAATTAAAATCATTGGACAAGGTTAACTGAGATAATATTCATTATATTGTCTCAACAAAGATTATGAATAAACCCTTTAGCCAGAGATTAACCATTTGAACTTAAAATTTTCTTCTTTGCTTGGTGATCATTTACATTAAAATAGTTATGCTTAATTTTTTTATTTCCTACCTTCTAAAATATAACATGTCTTTTTTTTTCTTATTGTTTCTTCCTTAGCCACAACAAGTCGTTCAGAAGAAGCCTGCTCAGGTAAAAGATGCTCATTATGATTTTCCCTTTCCAATTAGTGCAAAAATTAAAGTACAATATGTATTTAATAAAAGTTCCCAAATTGAGCATTTAATTAGCATTTCCCCAGATTTATATTCTTAAAATGTATTGGCTCCTACAAAGTTAAAATATGTAGTCTGAAATTATATCTAAAAACTAAAAATCTAGATTGTCAATACATTTAAATGTAGATATCTTAAAATGGAAACTTATATTTCAGTGCCTCACATGCAGATATTTAGTGTTATCATGTGTTTTACCAATTCCTACACATCAAATTCTGTCCTTTCCATTTGACTGCTATACTTTTTTACTCAATACAGGAGTGATTAATTACAAATTATTTCTTGATTTGTGACCACAAACATCTGCTCATTGAATTAGTCCATATTATAGGCCCTATAACATGTTCTTATCTTAAAATATTCCCAATAGGGTTGGGAAACTGCAACATTAAATTATACTAATTTTGCAGATTAATGAACCCTCAGACCTTGATTAAATAGCTAAATTATTGTCTCTCAAGTTTTTGGCAGTATTAGAATTAGAAACCAGCTTGAATTTCTTTGTCCCAAATGGAGTTCTTTGTTCTAACTATAGTCTAACCTTGCAGCATAAAATTCATATTTATTGAGAAAATGCAAGTTGGAAGAAAATAAAACTAAAGAGTAAATTAGTAATGATTGCTATGAAAAAAAAATGATTGCCATGAATTTGACCTATGAAAGTGTATGACTGTCTTGCTGTTCTATTTCTTTCTGGATCTAAATAGATACCTTAAGAGAAAACTCTAGGCAGTATAACGGAGAGCCTAGTAAAACAAATTATTAAGCAAAGTTATGAGCTATCAAGTTCCTTGTAGATTTCTCTCATATAATTTAAAATTTCCATAGAATCTTTTTCCTTAAAGTCTTTAAAAATGTACCATCTATCCTATCCTCTTAGTCCACCTGGAAAAAGTCTTGCTTGTCTCCTATTTTTAAAGATGCTGCTTTGAAGAAAATGAAAGCTTTTAAACACATGTAAGGATCTAGGAGAAATAAACTCAAATAATTGCACATGTAATTTAACTGGAATAAAAGGAGAGATGTTATGAAAAACAAAAAATCCCGAGTACAGTTGTACCTTGGATCGCAAACTTCATTTCCACGTTTCTGGTTGAAAAATGAATTGGATGAGAACTGAATCAAAGTTTCCCATAAGATCAATATTGACCCTAACTACGAAAGTTGATTTGGTCCTAGTTCAGTTAGGTTTGTAATTAGAATTGTGGAAGGAATTAAGTTTGAGAACCAAGGCACCACCGTATATTTATTTAAACTGTATCTTCCGTAAGTAAGAAAACAAAGAGGTAATGCATTGGCAGGTCTGAGCACCTGGATCAAAGGTACCTTGAAGCGTTCTGACTGTTGCTCCATGGGCTACAAACTCTAATACACTGATAATCTCCCACAGCTTGGGAACAACACTGATTTAGTCTGTATTCTTGGTGTTATATGGAAGGTGAGTTGAACAACAAAGTCATGCATCTAAGAAATCTAATTCAGAGCTTCTGAGGGTAGCATCATATTAGAATTGCCTAGTGACTATGTATACACATATATAAAATGCCTGGGTGCTACTCAATGGTTTGCTGGGGCCAGTCCTTGTGAGCCAAATGTGAGCATCTCTTCCAAATTCTTTGGTCAGACATGTCAAGCCCGTAGCTTGAATCCACCCTCCTAAGACTGATTAACCATGGAAATTAACAAGTACTGCAAATCTTTTTTTTCCTAAAGAAAAGTTGATAAGAATTTACCTACATACCTCTGGCATCACTCTTCATAAATTCTGCTTATTTGATCTGGAAATCCAAGCATAAGTATGTACTCTGAACTCTCTACATGATCCTAATGAGCAGCCAGGGATGAAAGACAAGGCATTCAGTGAAAACACATGAAATGATGTTTGAACATTTGTTGAACAAATGACCACAGAATGTCCGTTGGATATGGGCCACATAGGGGATACAGATGAGGAGTAGAATGTCATGGGTGACTCAGGGGATGGTTTCCTAAAGAGTAGGATTCTATCATTTTGTTTGGTTTTATTATTGTTTAGTTGCAGAAGGGAAAATGGAGCCATTAAGAAAAGAAACCCTTCTAGATAAAGAGATAACATATAAAAAAGTAGAGTGGCACGACCAGATACACTCTAGAGACAGATCATTAATTTGTTTGGAACTGATTGCAAATTAGGCTTTAATTCACCAAGACATAATATAAATGAAAGTACAGCTGTCCTCCACCCCCCCCCAAGAGAATCAGGAATCTCAAAGGAGCCATAACTGTACTAGGAGATCCTCACTGATCAGTCTGGCTGTCTTGCAAACCCTGCTTCACATTTGTCCTTTAAAGGAAAGGAGCTGAGATTTAAGCTAAAAGAAAAAAGAGAACATGAGCTCATTGGACTACCTAATTTGTATTGTCTAAGGACACAGTGATAAATTATATAAACATGGGAACTACATGGAAGTTCATGGAGGATAATGTAAATTTTACACTACATTCAAAAGAATCTCTTCCTTTTCCATCTGTTTTTTCAAAATACCCTCCCAGATGGCTTTTCCATGTAGCAATCTGGATTAACTCAGGCTCATATCCTTTCTTCATCAAAAGCACTTCAAGGGGTTACATTTTGATTCTATTCGAGGTGATGAAGATTTTAGCATAAGTAAATATTTTACTTGTAAAGAAAAGGTCTCAACCATCTGTAAGGAACAAGTTTTTGTTCTGGCCCCATTACTGGACAAATTAATTTGTCTTTTTCTTAATTACATGTCTAGGAAATGGATAATACGAAGCCTCTCCCATAACTCACAGGAGCATTATGAAAGATTCATACTTACATAAATTTCATAGTGGATATTATATTCTAACTTATTTGAAGTTATTCAATTGTTCATCTTCCAGGATCAAGAACTTTAAAATTGTAATTGTTTCAAATTTTCTTCCTTTTTTACTTTGTGTTCTCATTGAATGTTTTTGCAATAAGAATTTTTGTATAAATTAGGAGATGTTATACATTAATTACTAAATCTTACCCTTAGGATTAACACAGTGTCATCTTCCTCTTATGTACGTCACATGCAGTTACTAAGACTATGGTAAATCTACTTATGCCATCAAATTCTGAAACTTCACAGATTCAAGAGTGCCACTTTATAAAACTGGTATACAGAGTATCAAAGTTCTGTCTGAGGAGACAAATTCAGAATTAGATAAATCTCAGCATTTATATAGACACTAATGTTTGTTGATATAAGCACATGTGTATAGAGAGGAACCCATATGCAAGAAAAGGACTACAGTGGGAATTGGTGTTTGGAAATGCAATCTTCAAAGCTGCCCGATAATCCTAGTGGGAAAGGTGACCATCCCTTAAATGTCCGAAGAGGAAAGTGCACAATATTCACATTATTTTTTTATATTGCAAAATCAGTGGAAGAGTGAATTCGGCAGTATTTTCTTCAAAGGATAAATAAACAATAAATAGAAGTTAACTAACGGGAAGTCATACCAATAAATAGAAATTAGCAAGTTCTTTAGCAATTTGAAATGTCTTGAGTTCCCAACTGTGTGGTTTCTATTCCAAATTTTCAGGGATTAAAGATACCTTTTTCTTTTATTTTTTAAAAAATAAATAAAATAAATGGCTTTACAGTTTCAGGTTATTATTATTATTGATACAGGAAACTCAAGCTTTTCTTTTGAGAAAAATAAACCTCTAACTAGAACTTCTAAAAAGATTTTGCTAGCTTACTGTAAGATTTGTTGTTTCTTGATGTTCCATTTTAAGGCTTTAAACTAAGGCATATGATTCAGACACTTTTACTTACCTCAGTTTTACCCAAAGGGGGGAAAAAAAGTTTTTAAAATCTTAACAGTTCTTTGTAGAGTCTGCCTACTTTGCCTAGCCCTGGCAAGCTACACTTCTGGCAATCAGAGCAGGTACAAACCTGTCCTTTTTGACTTCCCAATGAAAGAATTGGAAATTTTTCAGTTTAAAAAAACAACACCGAACACAAAGCTTTCCATTTCAAAGTGGAGATTTTTACCTGTGAGTAGCGTCTTCGGTGGGTGGTGACAGGGCAAAGAAATCTCAGTAAGCCTTGCTTATCCTGGGAGTCTTCCCCCCACCCCCGTCCCCACACACACCTTAAAAAAATGTTGAATGTTTTTACAGAGACTTCAAGGGCAGTTTTAAGGATGTTTATATTTCAGGCAATCTAAACATTGTTCGGAGTCAAATGAGAGATTTCGTTTTCGGACAAGCAAGTTGATGAATTGCAGTCAGCATCTTGTTCTCAAAGAAGGCATTTTTACTGGGGGCTTTTGGTCTAGACACACAAAGAAGAAAGGAAGGAGAGAGCGGAGAGAGCATTCGCATTCTAGCGCTCATCTTTTACATAGTACCTAGACCAGTGCAGTAAATAGTCCATAATAAATCAGAGTGGCAAACAGTCACTCATTTGCTCACTCGGGGAGCGCCTTGATTTATACCACCAAAGTCATAAAGAAGACTGATTTATTTATTTTCCTACTTACGTTCTTTCAAGCTGGTAAAACATTTTGTGGACCAGTAAATGTTTGGTACCAACTGGCAAAACACGAAGAACCATATCAAAGGCTTCCTTGAGTGGCACTGTTTTGTTGTATAGGAAATACGTTTTTGACTTAACCTCTGACCTCTGACATTGCAAAGGTCAAGGAAAGAGAAGAGAGCAAAGCAGCAGCCAACGTTTAACCCTTGATAAAATAACCCAAGGACATGGCAGCATGGGGAAGCTGGAGGGCAGAGGAAGCGTAGCAGGTGAAGTCATAGCCCAGCTTGCATGTGTAATAAAAGAATATTGGCAAGCTGAACTTCAGCTGCTTCTTGACATAGAGTTTCTTCAAGGGATGATAGAACTAAGAGAAGAGAAAGAACAACACTCAACT